TCTTTTTCCATCACCAACTGTGAGGCTTCCTTTAATAAAGTTCACCTACCTTGCTTCAACCTAATTCCAATATATTTGTTTGTTAGAGCATCTATAAGTTGTTCATGTGACAATGAATCTATTATTTAATGTGGAGAATCTGGGTAAGATAATTGAGCAAGCCTTTCTAGATATTATGCAAGTTAAGCTAAGGACTCTTATCTCTTTAAGACCCTGTTATAAAACTTTGCTCTGGATACTTCTTTCTGGTGTGAAACTTCGAACCTGTTGGATGAAGCAGCTCACTTTCAATGTTTGATGTTTGTTATAGCTCTCAGCTGGAAAGTTACTTAATGTCATTAAAGCTGATCCTTTTAAATGGGTAGCATAATGAATAGCCTTCTAACTTACTATATTTTATTTCTTCAAATTTTTCCCGACTAATTATTTGAATTTTGTGTGTTAGTTCCCTTACTTTTTTGTTGTTGTTGTTCAGGATATATTCCCGGGTCTTCGAGCCACGGGTTCCTTTTCTTCAGGGATTGGAAACGTGCGGCTCCGGAGGAGCATGCAACTTTTTAACTCTCTAGCTGTTAAATTATTGAAATATGTGTTATATGCATTGCAGCTCTCAGTATCGTGCGATTTTTTCCCCAATTTGATAAAAAATAAAATGTCTCTTCTTGTTTAAGGGATTGCCGACCCCTGCCCTACACTCTTCTGCCAGTAGTTTCTCCTCACTGGAAACCTGTTGACCAAAACGTTGTTTTCATAAAGTTATTTTAATTTGGGGATTGTGTCACCTGCTATATTTTCTTCCACGCGTAAGACGACAAAGATTGTGTTATACACTTTTTTTTATTCTTACAATCCGTATAGGCCAGTAAATAATGGATCAGTTTAACTTAATACACGTTTTATTGTAATGTAACATGACACACATTATTACTGGCAATTATTTTTGAATGTTAAACTGATGTACTGTCAAATCCCACCTATATATTGTTACGACATTGAGGTCACGTGATTAGTATCACGCCACGTCATTCTCGAACATTCACGTCTTTTCCTTAAATCTCGTGATCCTTCTAGATATAGTGTAGTCTTGTATATATAAG